AACAGAGTCCCAGGTTTTTGGGCCATCTGCCCCCTGTCCTCAGGAACATGAACAGGGAGCTGGGTGGGAAGTAGAGCAGCCAGGACTTGAACCGGAGCTCATATGGGATGCTGGCATTGCAGGCAGTTTAACTGCACCACAAGCCACAAAGACCCACGTTTCCCTCATTCTGCATCCAGCTGATCACCAGTCACTACTGATCTGGTGTCATAATCATTTCTCAACTCGCTGCCATCATCATAGCTGTGATTCACTTTCCTCATCTCTCACCTGCCCACGTTCTTGTTCCCCACCCAAAATTCACCCCCAACAACATACCTAGATTATTTTAAAGTACAAGTTAGATGATCTTTCTGCTGATTTACTATTCACCAAAGGCTCTCCTCCTAACAAGATATAAATGCAAGAGCCCTAATATGGCTAAGAATCCTGCTTAACCTGCAGTGTCACGCCAATTCCCTACTTCCAACTTCTGATCTAGCTTCCTGCAGATGTACACCATGGGAGCCAGTAGATGATGGTCTAAGTGCTTGGATCCCTGTCACCAACGTGGAAAACCCCAGAGTGAGTTCACGGCTCCTGATTTGGGCCTTCTCTCTCTGATGCTCTGCCTTTCAAATAAATCATTTTTTTTTAAATATAAAATAGTTCAATTTAGTCTCACATACATTTATTGAACATCTAGCACATGCCAACTTTTCCATTCCGATGAATAAGACATAGTCTTTACCCTTAAGAATATGCCATACAGTAGAGGCTACACAGATACAGACTTGTAGAGCAAGTATAGGGGTTTCACGTGGTGTGCAGGAGAATGGAAGTGTGCCCAAGAACTGTGAGGGCATTAGGACAGCTGGAGTCTATGGCCATACCACCCTGAACGCGCCAGATCTCGTCTCATCTTGGAGAGCTGGACTGATGAGGGGCAGTGATGGAGGCTATCGGGGAGGGTCACAGATGAGGTGTGGTCTGAGGTACATCATTTTTAAAAGGCAAAACAGGCCGGCGCCGCGGCTCAATAGGTTAATCCTCTGCCTTGCGGCGCCGGCACACCGGGTTCTAGTCCCTGTCGGGACACCGGATTCTGTCCTGGTTGCCCCTCTTCCAGGCCAGCTCTCTGCTGTGGCCAGGGAGTGCAGTGGAGGATGGCCCAAGTCCTTGGGCCCTGCACCCACATGGGAGACCAGGATAAGTACCTGGCTCCTGCCTTCGGATCAGCGCGGTGCACCAGCCGCAGCGCGCCGGCCGCGGCGGCCATTGGAGGGTGAACCGATGGCAAAAGGAAGACCTTTCTCTCTGTCTCTCTCTCTCTCTCTCTCTCACTGTCCACATTTATGTTATATTTCCTAAAAAAAAAAAAAGGCAAAACAACAGAGAGAGAAGGAGAAGAAGGAGAGAGAGGCAAAAAAAGAAAGACCTTCCATCTACCAATTCACTCTCCAAATGGCTGAACCAGCCAGCCAGATTTGGGCCAGGCCAATGCCAGGAGCATGGAACTGCCTCCTTGTCTCCCACATGGGTGGCAGGGATCCCAGGACTTGGGCCACCCTCTGCTGCCTTCCCAGGCATATTAGCAGGGAGCTGGATCAGAAGCACAGCTGCAGAATTCAAACCAGTGCTCCAACATGGGATGCCGGTGAGGCAAGCAGCAGGTTAACCCCCTGCGCCATACTGCCAGTCCCCTGTAGTGCATCTTAAAAGACAGATGAAGCATTTGCTAAGTGGAGGCCTAAGGTGTGTGGGGCTGGAGGCTGGGGGAGGGCAGATGGCTGAGCAGGCCAGGCTCCAATTTCAGAAGGATTCTTAGCCATATTAGGGCTCTTGCATTTATATCTTGTTAGGAGGAGAGCCTTTGGTGAATAGTAAATCAGCAGAAAATCATCTAACTTGTACTTTAAAATAATCTAGGTATGTTGTTGGGGGTGAATTTTGGGTGGGGAACAAGAATGTGGGCAGGTGAGAGATGAGGAAAGTGAATCACAGCTATGATGATGGCAGCCGAGTTGAGAAATGATTATGACACCAGATCAGTAGTAACTGGTGATCAGTTGGATGTGGAATGAGGGGAACATCTTTGTGGCTTTTGGTGCAGGCAAGCAAGATGGAAGATACAAAGCCTTCGGTTTGGGGGAGGTGGGAGTGGACTAGACAGAGGGTGGTAAGAGGATGCATTCAGGTTTTGATTTGTTGAGCAGAAGGTTCCCATGAGACATTCAAGAGGAGATGCCTCACTGGAAGTTGTGGGAAAGAAGCTGTACGGAGACACACAACAGCACAAGTGGGAACTACATAAGTGACTACGTGAAATTGCCCAGGATGGCTGAACAGAGTGCCAAGAAAAGCGAGCCAGTACCACCCAACAAAGTCCCAACATTTCAGGGAGCAGATGGAAGGAGAGAATCCAGCTGGATGATAAAAAACAAAACATGGTATATACGAGACTTGTCTTCCCATACAGAATTAGCAATTTTTAGAACCACTGTCCTTGGTCACTCTACTTTATATATATATATATATATATATATATATATATATATATATATATAAAGACTTACTTATCTTAAAAGAGAGAGAGGGAGAGACACAGAGTGAGAGAGAGATCTTCCATCCACTGGCTCACTCCCCAGATGGCCGCAAGAGCTAGCACTTGGCTAGGCTGAAGCCAGGAGCCAGGAACCAGGAGCTTCATCCAGGTTTCCTACGTGAGTGGCAGGGGCCCTAGCACTTAGGCCATTTCCTGCTGCTTTTTCCTAGGCCAGTAACAGGGAACCGAGGGGCCAGAGCCTCCACCTACAGTGTCAGCACCCCATATGGGCTCCGGTTCAAGTCCTGGCTTCTCCACTTCTGATCCAGCTCCTTGCTAATGCCCCTGTGAAAGCAGTGGAAGAAAGCCCAAGTATTTGGGCCCCTGCACCCATGTGGGAGACCCAGATGAATCTCCTGACTCCTGGCTTCGGTCTGGCCCAGCCCCGGCCATTGCAACCATTTGGGGAATGAACCCGCAGATGAACTACTTCTCTCTGTATCTCTGCCTTTCAAATAAGTAAATAAATCTTAAAAACAAAAACAGGGAACTGAATCAGAAGTGGAGTAGCTGGACATGAACCAGCACCCATATGGGATGTCAGCATTCCAGTTATACCACAACACTGGCCCTGGTCACTGTACATTTTTTTTTAAATTTATTTATTTGAAAGACAGAGTTACAGAGAGAGGTAGAGGCACAGAGAGAGAGGTCTTCCATCCACTGGTTCACTCTCCAGATGGCCACAACGGCCAGAGCTGGGCCAATCTGAAGCCAGGAGCTTCTTTTGGGTCTCCCACGTGGGTGCAGGGACCCAAGAACTTGGGCCATCCTCTACTGCTATCCCAGGCCATAGCAGAAAGCTGGATTGAAAAAGGAGCAACTGTGACTAGAGCCAGCACCCATATGGGATGCCAGTGCTTCAGGCCAGAACTTTAACCCACTGTGCCACAGCGCCGGCCCCCTGGTCACTGTACTTTTAAAGATCCTTTAAATCTACTGTTTTGCCATATCCTTTGACCAGAAAACTTTCTATCCAGCATTGTTATCAACCTGTACCCACAGATTTAATTTCTGCTCTCTGAAGCCCTACGGCCTTCAAAGTTCGGGGCAGCTGACATGGCTCAACCCAACTCTCCGTGGATTGAACATCTACAGTCCCTTCAATGGTTCCTCACATGAGGACTTTCAGCCGTCTCTGGTGGCCTCTTCCCGGGCACACGGCAGTTTGTCAGTTTGTCCACAAGCGTAGCAAGCCACCCACTGGCAGCACATTAGAGTATTACCCTCCTTGTCTGCAGGCTACGAAAGTTGAATTTATGAGCAGCCACATTACACTACCTGCTGTCTGACTACACAGTTAACTCGAGGGCACTGTCCCCACCCCCAGCATGAACATGCAACCAACTCTTCTTCCCCTAGCCTGGATTTCTACAATTGATTTTTATTTAGTCTAATTGTAGGTTTCATATTTCTGGTTTTTTTTCACTCATATGAAAAGATTTCTTCTTGTCTCTCACTATATGGCACAAAATGACTAGGACACCTGATAGTAAGAAAATCATAAACAACTCTGCAGCAACCATCAGACCAAAAGCAATGTCAAGAAGAGATTCCTATGGAACTCCAAACCTAAGAGGAATGTTTTGACCCAATACAGGCTTCTGCTTCTGTCCTCAAACAGCAAGTCTGACAAGGCACGTGGCTGCCTGATTGTTTAGTTCTATTTTTTCTTGAATGCCTGTTTGTCGAACAGAACTATTTTTCCGTTTTCTAGATGATTAAAAGCTCACGTTCTTTCAGTGGCAGAGGACGGAGCCTCAGGTATCCCTGAGAGATTGTCTCTCTGGCAAATGGTTGACGATGGAAAATTCTCACACACGAACTATGTGGCGTAGGAATCAACCCAAAAGACAGGGAGCATTGCCATATGGTAGCTGCAGCTGAAGGCTGTGGACATGAACTCCAAAGGCGGCCATCTGCTCTGTTCCGGGCTCTGCTCCCCGTAGAGGAAGGACCGCCAGGAGTCCACTCCACACTCCCTGCCTCCCTGAGCGTCTTCACAGTCGTGCCCTACTAAGGGACAGGGCTTACTGTGTGCTTGTTGGAACCTAACTGCCTGGGTCTGGATCCTGGCTGTTCACTGGGCCTCATGGCCTCTGGGAAGTCAATCGCAGTGTGTGCCCCAATGTTGTGAGAAAAATGTTAATACACACACAAATCACTCAGAATAGAGCAGGGGCATACTATGCATTCACTAAGTGTTAGAAACTATTTCTCAGTGTTCCTTGGCCTGACTTTAGTTCTGATACAGGTGTAAGAACTCCATGTGTAGACAAACCAGGGCTGGACAAGTCAACTGTTAGCAGGTGGACGGGTGAAAAACTGCATGGAACACAGGGTTAGGCTTGCTGGCACTAAGGCAGAAACAATTGTTATGATCCCAGATTCCTAGTGATTGGGAAGACAGAGCCAGTTCCTCCTGCATACACTTTATTCACACATGCTAAATCTCACTAACACACCACGCTGCCATAAGGGGAAGTTAGGCTGGTCAGGCTAAGCCTTGCCTCTGGCCTTGTTTTGCACCAAGGTAAATAAACAGCCAGAAGCAAGACTGGGGTGAAAGGGGGTAAGGTGAAGAGCGGACAAAGCGCAGAGTGTGTGGAAAGCAGAGCAGTGAGGCGGCAGGCAGGCAGGCAAGCAGGCAGGCGGCGGTTCCAGCCAATCAACACTTTTATTTTTCTAGTTGACACCTGCACAGATGTTACTATTTCCTGGCCCTGGGACGGGGCTCCCACCACACTGGGGCCATCCATGGCCCAGAAGAGGTTTCCTGTTTCCCCTCTACGGCAGTAAGGAGACCCCTCATCTCAGTGGCGGAGTGCACGCTCACCAATCCCAGCACTGGCGCGTGTGCCGTAAGTTTCCTGCTCTCCTGCACCATGAAGTGCTGGGCTGAACTGGCGCAAGGGTGCAGGGGAGGTTAGAGACCTAATTGCAGAACTCCTGGTCTGACCCACCACCCTGGGTTTATTCTTTACCCCCCCAGACCAGGAGCCTCCCTAAAGCTTCGCAGTGCCTGCTGGGAAAGTGGAGCTGGCAAAGGTGGTGGTGGGGGGAGGGGTTGTTGAGCTGCTAAGGACATGACACAGCAGGAAAATAAAGCAGAGAGGAGTAAGGGACAAGAGAGAAAAATTATAAAGTGCCTGAACTAAACAACCAAGTGGGACATGAAGGCAGAGCAGCACAGGTCCCTGAGGATAGGAGGAAAAAAAAAAAAGGGCTAGACCACCAGGGCTTGGGGCTTCGTGGAATGAGAATAGAGATGAGGCAGGGAGGCAAGTGCAGGCTGTGGGAAGGACTTCCCTAGCCCTGTTCACATCCACAAATCCAAATGGAAAATTATTTACAGACTTAAAACCAATCCCAGGCACAGGACAGCAGGCAGGCAGGCAGAGGGTGGACTGGCTACCATCTGACAGCCAGCTGCCCCACGCTGGCCCTCCTCAGAGCTTCAGGGACAGGAGGAAACAGTGGCACCTCCAGCCAGGAAGCCCTGCTGTGCCTGCAGCTCCTTCCCCTGGGGCTCATGGCTCTGCCACGGCCTGAGCCTCTTGGTCTGACTGTACCAGGGAATGGGCATCAGGCCCCACGGATGCAGGGGGTGGAGCATCAGGGGGCTCTGGGGGTGTTTCTGGCCCCAAGCCCAGCTCTGCATTCAGCTGCTCCAGCTCCCCCTGATCCAGCAACTCAAAGTCCTCAGTGGTGAGTGCCTCCTCTTCCTCAGGGGCAGGCAGGGGCTGGGGAGAGTCCTGGGGAGGAGGTGGGAGCATGGCGGGAGAGGGGACTGGGTCACTCTCAGCAAGGCAAAGTGGGGGCGACAGGGTGCTGGGTGCATCAGTGAGGTCACCACTCACTGCCTTGGGGCTCAGCGTCTCCACTGGTCCTCCAGGGGAGCACGGCACTCCATCTGGGGGAGACCCTGCCCCATTGAAGTGCGTGTTCACAAAGTGAAGGGGGGATGAGAGCCGAAGCAAGGTGTCCTTGGCGGCCATGTCTTCCTCCTCCTCCGAGTCCAGGGTTTGCCCCGAGAGGGCCTGAGGAGGGCCCAGCATGTCTTCGGGAGGGGCCAGCTCTGCCTCCTCTCCCTCTCCCAGCTCCCGGCTCAGGGCCTCCTCGGGCTCACTTGGCAGGCTCTGCTGGTCCAAATCTGTACAGAGAACAAAGGGTTAAGAATGGGAGTCCTGCTCTGATTGGCCACAAGAACAGAACAGCTCAAGGAGAACTCAACGCATGGAGCTGAGCCAGGTCTCAGGTAAAAGGTCTTCCAGAAACTTGGAGTTGAATTAGTCACTTGTCCAGATAAGATGTTCATGGAGGGAGTATAACCCACGTCCCGTAACAGGGCCCAGGAAGATCAGGAGGGGTAAAGCGTTCCCTGTACCTTCAGAGACATCGGTCAGTTGCGGAGTTGTGGCCCGGGACACAGAGAAGCCGCCACTCTCCAAGATAGACGCCTCCTCATCTGAAAGCTCCGAGTCCGTGATGGCCAAGGCCAGTGCTGTTTTCTTCACGTCCACCTGCAGACCCAGGACGGACACAACAGGTGAGGGCACAGGAGAAGCGACCTTTCCTCCAGGCCTTGAGAGGTGGCAGCGCCGACGCGGACAACTCTTCCCCAGCCTTCTACTTGACACCCCGTCTCCCGCGGGCCTCACCACTGGGGAGAAGCCGGCCAGCTCCGCCTCGCTTTCACTCTCTGTCTCTGCCAGCGGCTCATCGCCTCCTGGGGGAGTGTTCTTCCCCTGGCGCTCTAGGGAAGCAAGAGCAGCAAGGGCACTCAGCAAGCAGGCCCAACGGGGGGAGGGGACGCACAGGGCCAAGGAACCAGAGACCTGAAGTCCAGGCCGGTTCTCCACCCGAGCCCCGCCCCCACGTTCACCGTCCCAGGTCGAAGGAGCCGCTTACTCCTCTTGTCGTGTTTGTGATGCAGGGCGTCGGCTTCTGCCTTCATGCTGTAGTCCAGCTGCATGAGCAGCGGCTCGAGGCGAGTGTACATCCTCTGGATCAGCTCATGATAAACCACCAGGGGCCACAGCAGGATGCTCAGCACTGCGGGTCAGAGGGTCCACTCAGCGCTCCCTACACCTGCTTCCGAGGGGCCCTCATTCAACTGTCCCCAAGGTCTTTCCCGAAGCTGCGCTGGTGTCTCCCCTCCATTCCTACGGCCCCCTCCCTGCAGGTTCTTCTACTGTTAGTAACACTCCTGCATCCCTGGAGACCTCCACCAATGAGGCACCGAGCAGAGCACGCACACAGTACTCCCTCGGGGCTAGTCCAGGGTAGACTACTCACAGACGATGTAGGAGATCATTATCCCTGGAACATAGTGTCCCAGCACGGCCAGCACAGCGCAGCCAGAGCAGACGCGGGCACAGAACTGCAGGGAAGAGCACGGGGGCCTTGAGGAACGGTGAGCGAAGGGTGCGGGCCACTCCTCTGGGTGGGAGCCACTGCTCAGCAGGTAGACGGATGGGAGTCCATCTAGGGACGCAGTGAGCTGCTCTACTCAAGAGGATGCCTGACGCCACCAGTCAGGAAGGTTGCCACAGAAACCACCCAACACCCATCATTCACACTGGTCGGCCCTGGCAGAGGCAGTGTCCACGTATCAGCTATTCTGTGCCTGAGCCTGCCTGCTGTACCACAGACGAGCTGTGCGCGCTGCCCTAAGGAGGCACCCAGGCCTTTTCGTTCTGTGTCTCCAACTCTGGGGTTCACACCACTCCCCCATGCCCCCCCGGCGCAGGAAACCGCTGTGTAACATGGGAGAGCTTACCTGAGCTGGGTTCTGCCTCTTGTACTGCAGCAGCTCCTGCAGGTGAATCTGGAAGGTGAGCCAGCTCTCAGCCAGGTATCTGCACAACTCGGGCACACTCAGCAGGTGCGGCCGGGCGCCTGACCCCGCACCCTCACTGGGGAGACACGACACAACCCCTGGAGGCCTCAGACACCAGCTTCCTGAGCACTCAAATCCCTCCAAGCATATCAATCTTTAAGGAAGCGGACAACCCCACCTCGCAAAGGGAGGCTGTCCTGGTCCAGCGAGGCAAAGCCCAGAGCACCCAACCCTCCATCCCAAGAGGAGCAGGCAGGAAAACACCTACACAGGAGCGTGGGACCCAGCAAACTGCAGCTCGCTACCAGTCCGTTCGCTGCGGTGGGGCTGTGACTGCAGGGGCTGCAGCATCGCCCTCTGTGGTGAAATGGGGCACGGGCAAGCAAGGCAGGATTTGGGGGTTGGGGCCTGCACTCACCTGTCAGAGTGTGGCTCCTCTGGGGATGACGCTAGAGAGAGGAGGGGGACACATTATTGAGTGGTGGGGGTCTGGGAGGCATCCCCAAGGCAGGAACAGCTGCCTGCGGCCTGGAGTCTCACAGCACGTTTCCGGTGGGAGGAACTACGTGCCCCGGTTTATGGCTCCTTCAGACTTCTTACCCTTTTCATCCCACTCACGCTTCTATCCCAGGTATCTCACACACAGCCTGGCACCTAAATGCTCCAAAAACACCTATTGCTATCCGGAGAGCCACAACGACCAAGCTGACATTAACCTGACTTCTATCTTATAGGAAGCAACACCGCAAACACCTAACACGTGTTCTCTCATTTAAATCCTCGCTTCTGTACGAAGCAAAGTCTGTTATCCCTGCTTTATGGATAAGGAAAGGGAGTTAAACAGATACTGAACAGCCTTTCGAGTTACAACCTTACACCCGTAGTAAGCGGCAGCTCCCAGAAAGCAAGGCAGGCAATTTTGTTGTGGAGTCCACACTGGTAACCACTACACCCACGGTAACATCAATTCTGGGAAAGGGACAACTCTCATCACAGGCAATTTCCTATAACGGAGGAGCGGGGAGGGGCAGGGTTCCCCTCACCAGCCAACTCCATCCAAGTACACAATGGCTGCTTGACGAATGCATAAAGAAACGCGTACCTGAAACCTCCGGGAGAAAGCGAGGCTGCCAAAGATCCAGGAGAAAATAGGCCAGCAGTGAGATGCTGAGCAGGAAGAAGGGCCGGAGGGACGACGAAGACAGCAGCCTTAGGGGGAGAGCCCAGCGGTGAGCGGGTGCCACAGGCTCCTGCACCCATCGCTAAAGGCGGAGGGGCGCCAACGGACGGGGGAACCGCACCTGCAGGCCTCGCTCGCGCCCCGGACGCAGAGGGCCGGCGCAAGCCGGGCGGACGTCAGCCTCCCCCAAACCGGGGCACAGGACCTCCCCCCAGGCCAAGTGACAACCCAGGCCCCTCCCGCCCCCGCTCTCCCGCGCAGCCCGGCCCCGCCCCCTCCTCCGCGGCCGTTACCAGAAGAGGCCGTTGAGCGCGGCCGCTGTGACCAGACTGTGCAGCGGCTTCTCCCACACCAGCAGCCGCTGCGCCGCCGCCAGCACCGCCTCCCAGCCGCGGAGCCGCAGCCACAGCGTCGTAGCCAGGCGTCCCACCGCCTCGGCCGCGGCCGCCTCCTCCTCCGCCTCGCCAGTGGCCTCACCCATGCCTAGGCTCAGGCCCAGGCCGAGGCTCAGGCCCAGCCCCTGGCCTCCGGCCGCGCCGGTGTTACCGCCTCCACCGCCGCTCGCCATAGCCCCGCCGCAGCCGCCGCCCGAGCCCGCGAGGAGCCAGGGCTGCGCGGCCGCCGCCGGGGGCGCGTCAGGCGGAAGGGGGCGCACGCCGAGGAGGCCAGAGGCTGGCGGACGGGCGTCACGTGACGGCGGAGCGACGAACCCGTCACGTGACGCTGGCTAACCGGCGGGATAGGGCGGGCCGCGCGTGCGCGCCGGCGGCCGCCGTGACCCCCGCGCCTACGCGGGTGGGTGTTTGCTGAAGTCCTGACCCGGGGTCAGGGTCCGGGCCTGTGGGCACCATTCTGTTCTGGCAGTGTAGACAGGGCGGCGTGGTGTGTGTGTGGGGGGGCTGTCTGGCGCTCGCTCCGTGTCCGCGGTGCAGTCCGCGCGGGAGGCCAGGAAGTGGGCTTCCAGACGAGGCCGGGATCCCCGGGAGGGTCCGTTTCTGTTCGGAAAGGGCGGCGGCCGTCCCATTGCTCAACTCGGGGCGCCCGGGTCCTCCCAGGTCCCTCCCCTCAGCGGGTAAACAAACACCAGCGCGTCACTCGTCGGACTCGAAAACAGCTTCACCCACTCGGAAACGTAGCTTCCTTCCGTAAACTTTCGGAGCGCCTTCCTCCCCGCCCCCCCCCCCACCCCGGAAGAGTGAAATTGGGGGCGGGAGGGTGAGTTTAAGAATAAAACCTTGTTCAATGTTTACTTTCGGGGGGGGGGGGACGTGTCAGCCTTTTGTGTGGCCTTCCGTGTTTCCTTGGGATCATTTCCTCTTCGGCAGCAACACTCCAAAATACAGCATTTACTTAGGTTTAAACTTCGGAACGGTACCCAAAGGGTTCTTCTCCCGCCCTGTCTCTCGGGCACCGTTTCAGCCTCGTGGCTGAGCGTGTGCATCGCGCCTTCTAGAAAACACCCGGGCACAACTCGCTGTTGTATCCACGTCTCCACGGCAAGGTCTGCCTCGCTCGTTCAACCTCCGTGCGGCGTGGTCCCCTAGGAACTGTCCCCGTTTCTCAGGCGAGGGCCCCTGGGGCTCTGCTCTGGGACTTGGCCCGGCTGGGGCAGATCGGGAGGCCGGGCGGGCGGCAGGAAGTGCCGGGCGCGCTGACTCGCCGGCGACACCCCCGCGACTTGTAAACGCGGGGCGGACGCGGGCACTGGCAGAGTCGGGTCTCCGCTTACCCGGGGAGGTGAGCGCCGCGCCCCGGGCGGAACAGGAAGAGGCACCCGCCTCCCGGGGCCCCGCCTGTCACTGCCTCCGCGAGGGGAGGGGGCTGCGCGGGCGAGGGCGGCGGCCCGCACCCGGGAGGCTTGGGGCAGGTGGGCCGGCTGGCGAGGACCGCTCCGGGGGCCCCTTACGACTCCTTCCCTTCCAGCTTGGTAGGGCGGTGGCTGGCGACGCGATGGACCTGGCCGGGCTCCTACTGGACGAAGAAGGCACCTTCTCCCTCACTGGCTTCCAGGACTTCTCGGTGAGCACGCGGCCCGCCCCTTCCCAGGCTCCTGCGCTCCCCTCCGGGCCCGCGCGGAGCCTCGAGCTCGCCTGGCTGCCGTGCTGGGTCCGGGGCGGCAGCTGCTTGAGCCGTGCCTACTCCAGGCCGCGGCCGCTGGGGCCCTGAGGGAGAGCCGTGGGTGTAGCAATAGGGGGTAAGGCTGGCGACATTGAACCCTGTCCCGGGGAGCCCAGGGTGGCTGTGCGCCCCGTGGGCCAGGCTGCCATTGGCAAACAATCCGAGGATCAGGCGGGGTGGGTCCTCACCGCCCAGAGCTCCAGCCTGGAGCCCGGGATCTCCCTGCCCTGCCCTGCCCTCTCCACCACCTCACCGCCCTGTTTCAGTTCCTCCCAGGACACCAGAAGCTGAGTGCCAGGATCCGAAGGAGACTCTACTATGGCTGGGACTGGGAGACGGACTGCAGCCTGGAGGAGCTCTCCAGCCCTGTGGCAGGTGAGAAGTGAGGAGATGGGGGTGTCGGCAGTGACTGCAGCTTTCCTTGGTGGTGCTTGGTTTAGGAAGACAGTTTATGCTTCACGTTCTTTTAGCCCAAGTGAATTAAAAAAAAATACTTTGATGAAAACAAATTACATCATTTTCGATTTTGTATACTAGAAACATTTGATTTTCCAAAGAGGTCCACCGTGCATTTCCCAAGTAAACAAGCTGTGTTTACTCCTGAGATGAGCGACTTGAATAATTTCAAATGATGGGAAATGGAGCTCTTTCCTGATGCAAGGAGCCGAAAATCAAACTTGGAATAGACCTTTGGTCGCACAGTGTGGGAGGACTCGACCTGTTTTGTTACTGTGGTCTGTAAGGCCTCATGCAGTCCTGGCCTCCGAGAGCAGTGGGGGCTGGGAGGGGGCTGTTTGTCAGTCTGCCTGCCTCTGTCCCTTGCAGACATTGCTGTGGAACTGCTGCAGAAGGCGGCCCCCAGCCCTATTCGCCGGCTCCAGAAGAAATACGTAGCACATGTGTCCCGGTGAGCCTGGAAGTGAGGGGGCAGAGGTTGAGAGGGTTGGGCCCTGGAGAGAGGCGAATGTTTATCTCTGAAGATGTAGACATAGCGTTGAGCATCTTAAAACTGCAGGAGCAGAAGGACCCTTGGGTTTAATTACTGGGCCTTTCCACCACCCAGGGAGGCGTGCATCTCCCCATGCGCTATGATGCTGGCTCTGGTGTACATTGAGCGCCTCCGGCACCGAAACCCAGACTACCTGCAGCACGTGTCGTCCTCTGATTTGTTCCTGATCTCCATGGTGAGATGCCCCGCCCCTTAACTCCCTGGTGCGCCTGAAGCCCGGAGTGAGCTCTGCTGACATCACTTGTGGTGCCTCTGCAGATGGTGGCCAGCAAGTACCTGTATGACGAAGGGGAGGAGGAGGAGGTGTTCAATGACGAATGGGGAGCTGCTGGGGGTGTGGCCGTGCCCACCCTGAATGCCCTGGAGCGGGGCTTCCTGAGGGCCATGGTGAGCAGCTGTCCTTCGTCTTGCTCTGTTTCTCCGCCCCTCAGCCCCTTCGTTGCATCCTTTGTTCTCACTGTGTTCTGTTTCTTTGTCATCTCTCCCTGTCTCATCCTCCTGTCCGTCTGTCGGTGTTTTTTCTTCCTATTCCTTCAGGAGTAACCACAGTTTATATATATAAGTTTTATTTTAGTTATTTGGAAGTCAGACTTAGAGAGGCAGAGAGAGCGAGAGATCGATCTTCCATCTGCTAGTTCGCTCCCCAAATGGCTGCAATGGCCCAGGCTGTGCCAGGCTGAAACTAGGAGTCAGGAGCTTTTTCTGGTCTCCTGTGTGGGGGCAGGGGCCCAAGCACTTGCAGCCATCTTCTGCTGCATTCCCACGTGGAATCAGGAGTGGAGCAGCCAAGACTTGATCCAGCACACGTGTGATGCTGGCATTGCAGGTGGTGGCTTAACCTGCTACACCACAACTTTTGGTGGTCCCTGGAGTGGTGAGGTCATGAGTTAGGCCTTACCATGTCGGGTTCTGATTATTTGCTTCCAGACTTTCCCTGATCTCCCTACAGACATTCTCAGGGTTATTTTCTCCCTTCGCCCTTAGTGGAAGGTGTATTGAGAAGCCAGGTAGGTGGTGGTTAAACGAAGTAATGTGTGAAAACTAGCTTTTGCAGCAGTTTCCGGCTTGTAGGAAGTGCCAAGGGAGTGTTAGCCACGGTGGCGATGGTAGCTGCAGTAGCTGCTGCAGCTCACGTCAGAGTCTCTTCTCACCCACAGGACTGGCGTCTCTACACGGACCCTCGGGAGATCTTTGAGGTGCTGAGCTGGCTGGAGAGCTGGTATGTTCTGCAGATTGGGAGGAGGGCTCGAGGGATTTGGGGCCTGAGACCTAAGTCGTACGAGCTGGACATGAGGGATAACGAGGAGGGAAAGACAGGAAAGAGAATTGCCCAGAGCTGTCTGCGCCACTTCAGGAGAGTAGGAGCAATACATTTAAAGATACTGGTTTGGGGCAGACATGTAGCCCAGCAGTGAAGATTCCCTTGTCGTTGGAGTTCCTGGGTTTGGTTCCTCCTGCTACTGTTGACTACAGATTTTTGCCAGCACAGACCCTGGGAGGCGGTGCTGGTGGCTCCAGTAGTTGGGTCCTGCCACTCACGTGGGATACCTGGATTGAGTTCCTGGCTCCCAGCTTTGGAGCCCAGCCCTGGCTACTGGGGCATCTGAGAACTGAACCGGTGGATGGGAACTTCCTCTGTCTCTTCCTTGCCTCTCAGAAAAACAAGAAGGGATGCAGGCTTTACTCTCATCCTCAGGCTCTGCCTCAGCAGCTGGACTCTGTAGCAGGCTCCCCAGTATTTTCCGGCGGGCCCTGAGGGGTAGGAAGGCTGCAGGCTGGCCTTGGGAGAGTCACAGACTCATGGTGTCTTCTCATCTTCCACCAGCGTGGCCGAGCAGCAGGGACGGCGGCGGGGCTGGTACACCTACACAGACCTGTGCGTGCTGCTGGAGCAGCCGACGTGGCAGCTGGCCCTGGGCTCCCTCTGCCAGCGCCTGGTAAAGGTGAGGCGGGGTTAGGATGGATCAGGGGCATGAGGGGGCTGGAGCGTAGGGTGGGATAGGCTGAGGAGGTGGGGTTTGGAAGCAGATGGGTAGGGTGGGGTGTAAAAGGCCAAAGAGAGCTACAACTTGAATACACATTTCTGGAGATGGGAGAGTGTGTTAAAGACAGTCAGAAACCTGCTTCTTAACTTCCTCTCTTGTAGCTGTCCTGCCTGTTAGCCATGGCATATGTGAGCAGTGTGGCCTTGGCTGTGGCATCAGTGGCTGTAATACACCAGTCTTTGGGGCTGTCCTGCAGCCCCTCACCTGGTCCTCCTGACCTTGGATTGACCTCCAGATGCCTTTTGGAGCCCTGCATCCCTTCTCCTGTGCCACAGTGCCTGCCGTCACCTGCTAACATCTCCAGCTGCCTGGGAGGCGACATGGGGCTGCGTTCACTCTGGGGCAGTCTTCTGGCCCCACTGGCTCCCCCGCCGCTGCCTCCCCCTGACCCCCCTG